GTCAGAAAAGGGCCAAGTTTGAAGACCCCTGCCATAAAGCTTAGTCCCATCATAGACACAAAGCAAACTGGTTGACTTTGAGCTAGTCCTTCTCTTTCCACCCTGGAAAGAAGGCAAGGGCATAGCATTAAAAAAAAAAAAACCATCTTTAAAAAACCTGCTGGGATTAGCTCAGGCACATCACAAGTGTCAAGATTGACTTGAAGAGACCAAAAGACAAAGAAAAATCCTCTTAAGAAAGAACTAAAAACGATTCCTATTCTTTTTATATTTCTTAATTTATGATCTCTTTTAGGGCAACCATGTATATAGTACTGACATCACATGATCCTGCTAATACTTCCAACTATAATCTTGCAAAGCATCTCAACATCATTAGTGAATTGTAGGAACTGATGGCTGCAGATTCTGAGGCAATAGAACAAACACCTCCTGAATTTCGCAGTACAGATCATCCTCAATCTACAATGACAACTGAGCTCAAAATTTCTATTGTTAAGCGAGACACATTTTACAACCTTTTTAAACCACAGTTGTTAAGTAAATCACTGTAATTGTTAAGTTAGTAACAAGGTTATTAAGTGAATCTGGCTTCCCCATTGACTTTGTTTGTCAGAAGGTACCGCCAAAGGGGATCACCACCCCGGGACAGTGCAACCATCGTAAATATGAATTTTGATCACGTGACCACGGGGGATGCTGAAAAGGTCGTAAGTATGAAAAATGAGTCATAAGTCACAAGTCGCTTTTTCCGGTGCCGTTGTAACTTTGAACGGTCACTAAATAAAAAGCTGTTAAGTCCTGCAGTGGAATCCTAGCTCTTGTCTTTCAGAATCTGCACTGGAGCTGGGAACCTCCCTATTTCAGCATCCTTCTAGAGCAGGGATGTCAAACTGCCAGCCCGCAGGCCAGACGCTTCGTGACTAAACCACGCCTCTCCCATTGCTGGCGATGGAAAAAAAGTCGCGATATGTCGCAACACGTCATATGACATGGTGGGTTTGACACGCCTGCTCTATAATGGCACAGCAGGCTGAGGTTGTTCAGACCTGCAAATAAACCCCACTATTTCGATCCTAGCAAAGAAGAGTTGCAAAGTGGACCAGCATGCCTAAGCCATTTGCACATTATTTGCTTTTCCTGTTTTTTTTTAGCAGAGTGGCGGGAGAGTGGAGGGTCATGTTCGGAAGCTTGGCTCAATAGTGATCCAATCTGTTTAATTCCCCCCACACACACTTAATGAAAGCATTTGCTAATAAATCAGGGAAGGAAGAGCAGTGAGTCAAAATGAAGTCACTCTCCCGATACAGTAAAATGGGAAAAAGCTAGTTTTTTCTGAGTTCTACTGCTTAATCCAATGGCTTTTTTTTTTTTCTACGGATCAAGCTGTCATTAGGTGAAACCACACAGCTGCTTCCAGGCCTTTCTTCCCATTAGCTGAGCAGACAGTCTCATCTGTGAGATGAGACCAGACCAGACCAGATGTCAGGATGATGCTGGAAAATATCTGCCCAAACGCCCAGCCTTCCTAATATTTAGAGGAACGGATTGAAGTGGAGTAACTGATACGTCCTGATTCTGAATCCCAAGTTGATAAATTCAGTGGGTGACTGTCAACTGAAGACGCTCAGGGCAACTCTAGGTCTGCATTATTACAAAAATGTGTGGGGTTAAAAAAATATATGGGAGCAAAGAAACCCAACACAAACCAATCTGGACCACCAACAGCTAGGGATGGTCAGAGACTTCCGTGTTGGATGAAGTGGAGGAGAAAATAAGATGGATGAGAATATTCTCGAAAATAGCACAGTTGGCTGGCTGGCTGGCTGGCTGGCTGAACTGGCTGCACTTCCTACTGCAATGTTTTGCTGCTTCTCTCCCTTGTGGATTATACTTTCCACTATGCTCACAAGGATACATTGGATCTTGATTTGTGGTTGGGAGAGATCCAACATTTAACCGTAACGTGATTAAAAATCAGAGTGGAGCTTGCAAAATCTTTTGAGGGGAAGCATTTCTCTAGTACGTGGTCTTCAGTTACTGCCCACAGGAATTGCTAGTATGTTTTTGTCTATTAGTGCAGATGTTAAACCATCTGCTACAGAAATCTGGGCTCATGAATAACATTGCAAACTTTATTAATTTTTGTTTTCCTCCAGGAGCTAAAAACAGCTTAGATGGGGATCTCCCTTCATTTTTCATGGCCTCTACATCTTTTTCATTTGGCACTCAAGAAATTTATTCAGGTAAAATTTTAGCTGGCATGAAGAAAAGTATCCGAGATTTTGTTCACTAAATTGAAGAGCAGAAGATCAGATTTGGCTTAAGACAAGTTAAAAAGAGCAGTCTCAAAACTCACGCATTTCACGGTGTCACTGGCACAAAAGCGTTAACCAGAATTAAATTGCAAAGCAGGGGAAACAAGATCTTCTTCCAACTCGTTTTTCTAGATAGCTTTGTCTTTCATTTCGTTCTAGATCCCAAAGAATACATCTTTAGAGACTGGAAGGAATTAGTAATAGGATTGCATGAGTCTGAGCCAAATTGCCTTTTAGTGTTCCATTGTCTATACAGCAAAATAAACAAAGAATTTAAAGAAAAACACCCCTTTATGCTAGACAGATTATGCTCTGAGGATATGGATAGAAGCAATCGGGAGAGATCCAGCCTTCTATTCTAGGTGAGCAAATCTAGGAGGAAAGCCTGCCAAATAATGCAGGGCAATCTTTCTGCCACAGGATCCCTAAAATCAAGCAGGCACAAGCTTATTTGGTTATTAAATGTAGCAAAACCCTCACCTCGACCGCTGCGCCCCAGCGTTCTCAGCACCAACAGTTGCACCCACCCAGGCAGTTTAAATTGGTTTTATGTGCAGGGCATCAGCTGAGTTTTATGTGCAGGGCATCAGCTGAGTTTTATGTGCAGGGCATCAGCTGAGTTTTATGTGCAGGGCATCAGCTGAGTTTTATGTGCAGGGCATCAGCTGAGCCAGGTGCCCTAGGAAAAGGCTCCCAGCTTGCCTGGGAAGAAGCAAAATTATGCAAAAAGGGCAGCTCTAAAGAATCTCTTCTAAGTTGCAGCCAAGGCGAGCGCCCAGATGCCAAATCAGTTAGGATGAGAGGATGGCATTTCAAAGTTCTCCTTTGCCTTCCAGGCAAACATGAATTTCTGAGGGAGGGAGGGAGGGAGGGAGAAAGAGGCACCCCTTCACCTCACTGCTTGGATATCTTTATCAGTACCCTGCTTTCCCTCCCCTCCCCTTCCTTATCCCACCCACCCAGTCTGGGTCCCATCTTATTCTCTCAAATCGAAGGATTCACCCTGCAGCTTCCCACCTTCTTTTCTCCCCCCCCCCCACCTTCCAGAGGCATTTCCTTTGGAGATCCTCTGCAGCAGAAGAGATGCTGAATTCCCAGGAAGGATGGGCACCTGGAAACCAGCAGGCATTTGAATGGATGGTTTTGCCCTAGACCTAGAGGGCTCCTTTGCCACAGTCTGGCAACGGGCGAGGAGCTGTGGTGAGAGGCTTTTCTCTCCCCGCCCCCAATCGCCACTCTCAGCAGTTGGGAAATTTAAATAATGAAAAAAAAAAAAAAAAGAGGCGAGTTCTTCACCACTGCAGCAACCGGAGCCCCGCCTGGCCCAAGGCACGGCCACCCGAAGCCTCTTCTCTGCGTCCGTCCCACCCTCGCCCCCCCCCCGCTCCTCCCAGGGCGGGCAGCCCTCATCCTGGCGCCCTCCGACTCCCTCAGGTAGTCCGCATCCCCATCAGCAGGACTCTGTGGCCAGGGGGCCGCGCTGGCGGGCACCGGGTTGGCGAAGCATGCCGTGTCCAGAGGGTTTTTTTTAAAAAAGGCTGTTTTGGGAGGGGGGCGGAGAGATGGAGGAGAGGTCCGAGAGGCGGGGCGGGGGGGAAGTCTTGGTGGCGACTGCCCTTCCGCGCCCGGTCGCCCAACGACGCTTGGCAGGGCGGCTCCCCTCCCCTCCCCTCCGCTCCCTCTGGCGAAACCGGCGAGGAGGCCGAGCAACCTTCGCAAATTCCGCAGCCGGCGAGTTTGGCAAGACACGCGCCGCCAAGCCCCGGCTGCAGCGAGCGGCCCGGCGGAGAGTCCCATTTTCCGCCCGATCGTTATCCCGATAAGCGACAAAAGGGAGGAATTAATTCATCAGCAAGAAGGCTTCTCCTCCCCCCCCCCCGCCTCAACTCGCGAGGTTTGCCTTACGCGGGACAAAAAAAAAAAACGGGGACCGGTTCCGAAAACCACCCAATCCTTTCCCCGCCGCCCGTTTCCCCGTCTTCAGCCGCAGTGCCGGGGGAAGGCGCCCGCTCTTTGCGGCGCCCGCTCCGCGCAACTTCCAGCAAGCTCGGAGCCCGGGCGAGAGTTGCAGTCGCCAACCGGTCCGCGCTCCTGCACGCCTCCCTCTCTCCCTCCCTCCCTCTCTCTATCCCCCTCCCTCTCCCTCCTTCTCTCTCCCCCTCCCTCTCTCCCCTTCCCTCTCCCTCTCCCTCTCTCCCTCCCTCTCTCTCTCCCTCTCTCCCTCTCTCTCTGCCCCTCCCTCTTCCTCTCTCTCTCCCTCCTCTCTCCCTCTCCCCCTCCCTCTCCCTCTCTCTCTCCCTCCTGTCTCCCTCCCTCTCTCCCCCTCCCTCTCCTCTCTTCCCTCTCTCTCTGCCCCTCCCTCTTTCTCTCTCTCTCCCTCCTCCTCTCTCTCCCTCTCCCTCTCCCTCTCTCTCCCTCTCCCCCTCCCTCTCCCTCTCTCTCCTCTCTCTCCCTCCCTCTTCCTCCCTCCCTCCCTCTCTTTGCGAAAGCAGCAATTGTTGCAAGTTGCGAATCGAAGAGCAGCCGGCAGTTCCTCTCGCGCGCGCCCCTCCCGCCCCGCCGCCCTTAGCCCAGGCTTCTGCGGGGCAAAAGGCATCGCAGCCCTCCCGTCCCGAAGGCTTCAAACGGTGGGAACGGTGTGCGTGCGTGTGTGTGTGTGTTCTGGGGGGGGGGGCGACTCACGTCTCGGAAGCGGTTCCAGTGTTTGATCTTGCCGCTGTACTGGGCGATGGAAGACAGCCATTGCTCGTCCTCCATAAAATTGCCGGGGCTGTCGCCTTCTTTCGCCGCCTTGCCGTCTCCTTCCGCCCAAGCCAGGGCCAGCAGAAGCGGCACCAGACAGCAGCCCGGGGCTCTCATCTCGGGACGGGTGGCGCGGTCCTGGCTCGCCGCGAAGCGCCTACCTCTCCGGCCCTCTCTCCTCCTCCCCGGACTCCGGCAGCCCCGCTGAAATGTGACCCGCTTTGCAGATGCGCTTCTCGGAAATCCAGCTCCGCCAGCACCGGAGAGAATTACGGAGTCTGCGCCAAAAGAGGCTGGCTTAAGTCACAGGAGCAGCAGCAGCATCACGTTTGACATCATCGCACCTGGTTAAAAAAAGAGGAGCCCACCCCGGCGGCGGAGAAGAGGCTGGGTTGGGGGGGGGGCATACGGGATTCAGGAACGAGGGACCGGCCTGATCCGCAAATAGCATCAGTCCTTCCCACCCGGATGCTACATCACCATTCGTTATTTCTTCTTCTTCTTCTTCTTCTTCTTCTTCTTCTTCTTTTCTTCTTCTTCTTCTTCTTCTTCTTCTTCTTCTTCTTCTTCTTCTTCTTCTTCTTCTTCTTCTTCTTCTTCTTCTTCTTCTTCTTCTTCTTCTTCTTCTTCTTTTCTCCTCCTCCTCCTCCTCCTCCTCCTCCTCCTCCTCACCACCCTTGTGCCCTTCCCCATATCACCAACCCTTCAGATTGCTGCATGACTTGCCATATTGGTCCTGGAAGGTCAGTAAGATGTAATAGATCAGTGGTTCTCAACCTGTGGGTCGGGACCCCATTTGGGGTCGAACGACCATTTCACGGGGGTCGCCAAACAACATAGTCTGCCATTTTTTCCCCTTTTCCTTAGCTGTGCTACTCCCTTTTATTCTATTGGCTTTTGAAAGCCAATAGAATAGACTCTCTTGAATAGAGTCTAATTCTATTGGCTTTCAAAAGCCAATAGGAATTGTCCAGGCTGTCTCTGCCCTGCTGAGCCCACCAAAAGTCCCTTTCTGCAAACGGTGCTGCACCAGTTGAGTAGTCCTCGACTTACAACCGGTTGAGTAGTCCTCGACTTATGACCGGTTGGGGGGTCGCGGCATTAAAAAGGTTGAGAACCACTGTAATAGATTAACAGTTTGCAATCTTTCGCCAAACCTTTGCCACTAGAGCAATAAGCAGATGGCTTTGGTGGAAGTTACTAGGGATCATCTGATACATTCAGTGAAAACTAAGATTAACTTGACATAGAATCTGAGGGCATAATTGTACATGCTCTAGTATAGGGCTTTTCAACCAGTGGTACGGGTACCACCTGTGGTACATTGGCACCTGGCAGGTGGTACGCGACCATCCTAGAAAAGTGGTAGCAGGGGAGGGGAATGAGCTGAACCAATGGCAGCACCGCACAAGCCTGAGCGAGATGGCTGGAGCTGCAGGGCTGTCAGGGCTCAGTGGAAGCGCCAGGATCAGTGCCGCTTTCCAGCTGAAAAGCACTTCTTCGTGGCTGTCAAGGCTCAGTGGAAGCGCCAGGATCAGCGCCAGGCTCCAGCTGGAGCTCGGCGCTGATCCTGGTGCTTCTGCTGATCCCTGAAGAAGCGCTGACCAGCTAAAAAGCAGCACTGATCCTGGCGCTTCTGATGTCACAGCATCTCCAAGGTCTTGTGATTTACATTCAGATGCTTGGCAACTGATTCATATTTATGACGGTCACAGTATCTCAGGGTCATGTGAAGTGACCAAAACCTGCTGCAACCACCCAGCAGACAGGGGGAATAAAAACCAAGCACCCCCACCCCACCCCTGCTGCCAATCCTCAACAGAAATGCTCACAACAATGGAAACCTCGGACAGGAGGAAGAGCGCCACTGGGTGGGCAGGCAGGTGTCTTGCTCAGCTGTGGCTTGGGGGGCACTTTTTTCAGTGCCATTGTAACTTCGAACAGTCACTAAGTGAACTGTTGTAAGTCGAGGACTACCTGTACTTCATCACTTTTTTTCTTTTCTTTTTTTTTTGGTCATCAAGTTTTTGACACCTTGCTAGGCGACTGGTGGTACTCGGATGTTGCCATATCCTAAAAGTGTTACAATGGGTGAAAAGGTTGAAAAGCCCTGCTCTACTACAGTGCAGAAATTTGACTCATTTCCCTGCTAAAGCTTAATGTACATCTAAGTCTTTTATAACTGGAAGGGAAATCAAATATTTTTTTAAAAAAAGTTCTCCCCCACTATGTTAATTTTTATTTTATTTGCCAAACATCTCGAACCCAGCTGTTTTTACTCAAATGCCAGTCCCTGAAACTGAAATCAACTGGATTTTGCTACCATCTTAATAGATCTCTTGATTCTTATCCAGGCACAGTTTACAGTCAGATTATTCATTGTAATCCGCTGATATCATAATGCCATTATAGCCTGTTTGATCTTAGCACTAAGAAACCATTGGTTTTTCTCATGGAGATCCAGCTGGGTCAGAGTCTGGTCCAGACCAAATTAAGAATGATTATTCCTTTTTCGCTTTCTGTGAGCAAGAATTAAGCTTCAAAATAATCTTCCTGCTAAAATGGGACTTGAAGCAGTTAGCTGTGTTTGGATTCTGCTGGAATGCTGATCCTTCCTCTTTCTAGAGTAATGAACATCTGGTGAACAGAATAAATACAAAACTGCTTTCTGGCTGAGTTGAGATTTCCCCCTCCAAATCTTGGTGACTCTTCCCTTATGAGTGTTTCAGAGGCCTTTGAAGACCTGGGATTTGGCCCCTTCTGAATTGTGTGGGGTCTGCCTTTTGTTGTTTCCCCATGTTGCCATCATTTATTCCTTTTATCTTTATTGTTGTTCTGTCCTTTTGTTATTTTTTTTTCTGTGTTTTTACTTTGTGACCCACACCAAATTGCTGGGAGTTGGATGGTGCATTGAATCAATAAATGTAGGAGCCAGACAATTTAAATTTGTTTGTTGTCCCCCTGCGGCTTTAGTATTTTGCATCTAATTTACACATTTACAGATTCTCAGGAAGGCAAGCATAAATAATAAACTCACTGTGGGTTTTGCAATGACAAAACTCTGGTTGCACCAGTTGTCAGGATGTTAAAAAGAGATACTGTCGTGGCTAGATTGTTCAGGTTGGTAGTTAATTAATTAAACTGTTCAATCCACTACAAAACTCACTAGGTGGCCTTTGACCAGTCACACACTCTCAGCCTAACTTAATTGGTGGGGTTGAGCTGGGGATAACCTCTTTGGAGAAAGAGAAAGTTACAAATCTGTCACCCCTCTTTGGCCTCCCTGGATTCATGGTCAGTTTGAAAAAGAATATGCCTTTTCCAACATGTCCACCCCACAACTGTGCTCAAGAAGAAAAGAAAAAAATCAAAATGGTGATTATTTCAGCCATGATGGAATATAGCAGAATCTTTAACATCCTTCTCTGCCAACTTTCTTTTTGGCTCAAAAAGAAAGGAAAGGAACCCAACATGCTAAGTTTTTGCATACGTAGGTAATGTTTACTAGCCAAAAACGTGCAATGAATATCCCACCCTTTGTTTCACCCTGACACACGTAAAAGGGTGAGCATTTGATCACATGATTGTGATTTAGATAACCTTTATTGCCATTTTTTCCTGGGGGCACAATAGCAAACATTAAAAATGAAATTTAGTTGCTTCCTCTCAAAATGTACACATGCATAGCAGACATTTAAAACATACTATATACAACATATGTATAGAACTACACCCTTACATATAAGTAACATATAAATATTAATCACTGTCCATCTTGAATACATAACAGAAGGAGGAAGCTTTAGAATTCACAAGGTTAATATTGTATGGAACAAAGCTGTGACTGAATCTGGATGTTCTGCTTCGGATACCACGGAGCCTCCTCCCAGAAGGTAACAAGGAAAACAGGTTGTGAAGAGGATGTGGAGCGTCCCAGACAATCTTGCGGACCCTGCTCAAGCAATGCTTCTGTGCTATGTCCTGGATGGAAGGGAGGGAGCTGCCAATGATCTTTTCGGCCATCATCACCACTCTCTGCACCGCCTTCCTGTCTGAAGCAGTGATGCTTCCAAACCAGACTGTGATGCTGTATGACAGAATGCTCTCGATCGTCCCCCTGTAGAAAGTGGTAAACACAGGGGAAGGAAGATGTGCTTTTCTCATGCAATGCAGAAAATGCAGGTGCTGCTGTGCCCACTTCACCAGTGTCTTGCTGTTGAGCAACCAAGCCAGCCTACTTGTTAACTGCACACCCAGGAATTTGATGCTGGTAATCATCTCCATCATATTGTGGCCACCATATTAACTTTTTTAGCCCAGCCCTCCATCACCACTGTCCATACCTTTTGAGTCATGAGCTATCTCAGCCAATTATTGTTTAGAACAAGGGTCTTCAAACTTGGCTCTTTTATGACTTGTGGACTTCAACTCCCAGAATTCCTCAGCCAGCATGCCTGGCTGAGGAATGCTGGGAGATGAAGTCCACAAGTCCTAAAAGGGCCAAGTTTGAAGACCCCTGTTTTAGAAAAACATCAAGGAATTGCAGTACTGGGCTAGGGAAGATATTATGGATGAGGTACTTGCTCGACTTCAGAGGCCATACTACAGTCAACTACAGACTCCAGGTATTCCTCAACTTACAACCAGAATTGACCCCCAAATTTCTGATGCTAAGCAAGACAGTTAGTTGTTAAGTGAGTTTTGCCCCCATTTTATGACATTTCCTGCCACAGTTGTTAAGGGAATCACTGCAGTTGTTAAGTTAGTAACAGGATTGTGAAGTGCATCTGGCTTTCCCTATTGCTAGTCAGAAGGTTGCAAAAGGTGATCACATAATCCCGGGACACTGCAGCCGTCATAAATGCATGCCAGTTGCCAAGCATCTGAATTTGGATCATGTGACCATGGGGAGGCTGCAATGGTCATAACTATGAAAAATGGTTATAAGTCTTCTTTTACTTTTAGTGGTACTGTAACTTCAGCCCATCACTAAATGAATGGTTGTAAGAGGGAGACTATCTGTATGTCTTCCCCAAATTTTGTTCCTCAAGATGTGCTGACTGCAGCTCTAAAGAATTCCCAGTCATGCCATAGAGAATTGAGAAGACTCAGAATTT